TTAGGCCTATATAGTGAAATTTAGTAGGCCTTAATATCCGCCGACCAAGTACTTAGGAAAAACCAAATTAAAAAAAATTGACCATATATAATTCATAAATATAAAAATTACGAGTTTAGATAGCTTAGTGTAATATTACAAAACATACCAACGATTTATTTGGACTGATTTTTATTATTGGTGCAATGCGGTCGTATCTTATGATAGATAATGCAACTCTGGTGGCAGGTCGCGGGGGAGCGCGTCTCTGCATACTTGTAGAGACATTATCGTGTAATAGGAGTCTGTTACTATCTCCTTAAGCGAGTGCGGTTATTATAAATACGATTTTTGTTACTTAGGACTTATTAGACGACAGGCCTTACTACCCGCAGACACCTTATATATATATATATATATATATATATATATATATATATATATATATATATATATATATATATATAAAAGAAGAATGATATGTCGTAAAGAATTTTAACTTTGTGCATGCTTACACAATTACGCGCACAATTTTAATTATTTAAATCTTGTCACAATTATTTGTTAGGCAAAAATATAAAATATATATAAAAAAAATACTATTGTCTAAAATTAAAAATCAAATTGGTGCAATAATATGCTTAAATTAATTACAATATAGATCAAAAATAAATCTTGTCGCAATCATTTTTAAGAATTATTCGTTATTTACTAGTTATCATTATTATTTTAATACGATCAAGTATAAAAATTATTGTAATCAGCCTAAATATTGTTTTTCCACAATAGCAAATCACAGGTTAATAAAAATGACACTATTCTTTGGGTGCAAATTAATAAATAAAAACGCTAAGTTAAAAATATGAAAAACACTGAGTATTAATAATATTATTAATACCCAGTAAAAATAATACAGATTTCTCTTTCCTTTTCCTTCCCTTTTGATAAAGATAAATCGATTGCCAACTCATTCGGTAAAATAAGTCTAACAAGCTGCTACAGTGAAACATACATACATAGAATGTCGAGTATTCAATTCTTTCTTTGAATCGCCGTCATCGGTTAAAAATATATCTAGGTTGAAAGTGATAACCCTTGGTTGTACCAAAACATGGCAAAGTAACCATCACATCGTGGTGACACTAATATGTTAACTGTGATAAATCAGTTTTATAGATAAATATTAAGACCACCATGTTAAAACGAAATATTACATTTCCTATGAATTAATATTAACTTATTACAAAGATATTCAATATTTAAAGCGCTGATCAAAAAAGTTACGTCGCGGATACAATTTCGCGTTAAAATAAAATGCCCGAATTAACTCTCACGTAGCCATATCGAAAACAACGCTGTTAATTAGTTATTAAATTTTCATTCCAAAAATAGCATATTTCATAAAACGCTACGTTGTCTGTTATAGTCGTAATTTTGTACCTGTAGATCTCTGATGGCAAGGTTAACTTCCATTGGCAAAGTTGCTAGTTTTGACTGTATGAAACTAACTAAAATAAACTAATCTAGCCGTCTCAACATCTGTGAGACTTCTAATCTTTCTTACAACATATACTGCAGAACTAAGTCTGCCTGCTAATTTAGATATATGGGAGCCCCATTGAAGCTTCGCGTCAATAGTGATATCAAGGAAAATAGTGGTATCCACAAAACTCAACTTTCTCGCATTTAAGAGCACATTGGTACTCTATTAGGTATTGTAAATTTAATATATTTTGGCTTATTGACTTTTTGATGGCGTTAAATTAATTTCGATAGAGCATTATTTACATCGTTGTAATTTTTTAATTAATAGGAAAGGGGGCAAACGTGCATGCGGCTCACCTGATGGTAAGCTACCGCCGCCCATGAACAACTACAACACGAGGGGTATTGCAGATGCGTTGCCGGCCTTTTAAAAAGGAGTAGGCTTTTTCTTGAAGCTCTCTAAGTCGTTTGAGTTTGAAAATTAAATAGTTATCATCACCAACTAATACTATATCATGATTGTCCCCTACAAGATAAGGTAAATTATTAATATAGATTAAGAACAGAATTGGGCCAAGAATCGAGCCCTGAGGAACGCCCATTGATAGTACCGATTCATAATTTTTCTTTTTTTTTATAGAATAAGGGTGACAAGCACACATCTTATAACACATTGTAAGTGGATGCTGTGGCCCATAGGCATCTATATCAGTTTTCAGTAAAAAGAGTCTCCGGTTCTCAACGCTCATCATATGAAACGCAGTAGCAGTAAGCTGTTATTTCACTGTGGGTTCTGTAAAACGCTGATATTAGCATTCAAGAACTCCGAAAGTTGACAAGCCGGCTGAGTCTTGGGAATTTTATTATCAAATATTTATATCATAGGCCTATTTCCGTACTTAATTCAACTAAGAGTTGTGCCCATTGTTTAGGGGCTAAAGTACGTTATTGTATTGCCGTTTTGTATAAAAAATCAATTGTACAAGAAACTTTCTAGAAAAGATATAAAAATTGCTCTTCAATGCCGAGCATGTGGTAAACCAGCACTTAAAATTGCTAATAATAATTTCATTAGTGCATGTCTGATAAACAAAAAAAAGTGTTATTGAGACATGTGAAGTTCGCCAACACTCGTTGTGGCAGTGTGGCGGACACTTCTATGCCCAGTCATTCTCAGAAAGAAGAAGAGGCCAGTGTCCAGCTGTAGAATGTAGAGGCTGTATCTATACTTTTACTTTACTAGATTAAAGTTATTACATTGAAGGTTTACTACATTAAAGTTATGCATTCTCTCTTATTAATTGCTTTCAGCAATATATGGTACCTACATAATGTGTAGAAATTTTAAATTTGGTTTAGTTTTTAAGAAAGATAGTATATTTGAGATAGTATATATAAGATAGTATAGTTTGTAACAAAAATAGTCCCAATAAACAACTTAGACGGCCCATTTCTTTATTTTTGAAGATAAAAAATATATCCGTTCCTTGCTAATGAACTCTAGATAATGACACTCCACGTGTTATTGTATGTAAAAAAATCGGCTTTTTATCGTATTAGACCGCCCCTATTAATTAATTTAATTTAATTGCTTTTTTAAGTCAATCCGCCTACGAGTTAGAGATCCGTAACACACGGACGGACGTATAACGTAATCGAAAAATATTTTTTTTATATAATATTATTTTAAATATGCGAATACGATTTTTGTCTTATTTCCGCAACGGGGCAAAAGGAAACTGCGAAGAAGAAATTAAAGCGACAATAAAAAGAAGAATTCCACATCGAGTCCTAAAATATTTTATACTTAAACAATGATGTAGTATCTCTTATTTTAAAATGAACGCTTAATTTCCCAATAGTTTTATAAACTTAATATTTTTTCTTAACTCCAAATACATATTATTATTATTGCTATATCTCAAAAACTAGGGAATTAGAGTTTAAGCTATGCGACCCTGATACGTTGAAGCGTTCCAAATTACGGTGTTAAAGGTCGTGGAGGACCATCGAAACATGCGACAAGCGTGCTGATTGCACCCGTGTAGTACGAGTACTAGATCCCGGTCATTATCTACTTGTACTGTCTCTAGTTGAATTATTGCCGTGCAAATGGTACATGCAAGCAGGCTGATAATTATTTTACTAATTGTATTTTTTTTAAATTATTATACGTAGTTTGTTTGGTGGAACAATTTGACAATTACTTAACTTTCGTAACAAACGTCAAATTACTTTTATTCCTTATATTTTTTTTATAAAGCTTTAATCTTTTTATTATAAAAGTCAGAGCTTTGAAAAAGAACTAGCTTTTCTTATCGCGGTGTTATCCGAGCCAAAGTTGTAACGTTCAGACTGTCATAAATGACCCACGCTTATTATGAGATCGCCTAATATATAGAGCTCAAGTTACCACATGAAAACTTTCTCATACTTTGGAGTAATAATGATCGCAGAATTTAAGTAAGACTAAGGGCTGTCGAATGGTGAAAACCGCTCTAACAAAAACTATTCGTATTACAGTTTCATCCTCCTTCTTCAATAAATCATGATCTGTTACAGATGTACGCTTGTAAGCAAAAATCTGTAGTGGTCAAAAATAAATATCTACAATCTTTGCTTTAATAGTGGCCGATTTCCCATAACATTTAAAAGGGCATTAGTAACCCCTCTTACGTGGTAGAGCCATGCTGCAGCTATATTAGTAGTATAGATGTAGCACGAATGGGTCGGCTCGACTGGGGAAGGACCACGCTCTCACAGAATACCAGCGTCAAATAGCAGCTTCATGCTGCTGTGTTTCGTATGGTGAGTGTAGAGAACCGGAGACCCTTTTTACTGGAAAAGAGGCATTCTATCTTAGTCCTCACGGGTGACAACGCGTCTGCATTTTGATTCGCAAACGAAGATAAATGTAGATGTCTATGGGCCACAGCAACCACTTACTATCAGGTGGACTGTGTGCTCGTTTGTCACTCTATCCTATAAAAAAAACCCCATACTTAAAAGTGGAACTAAAGATCATATCGACAACTGCAGGCAAATTTCTGTGCTAACACTACTATCCAAAATACTGGAGAAGCAAATAAATAATAGATTGAAAAAATATCTCATAGATAACGACCTGCTCTCTAAAAATCAATTTGGCATTTTTACTCAGGACGCTGTGTTAGCTTTTAATGAAGAAATAAGTAAGCACTTGGACTCTGGTAACAAATGTCTTGGAGTTTTTTTGGATATGGCCAAGGCGTTCGACACCGTTTCTATTCCTATTCTGTTAGACAAACTACATAAATATGGTACCTATATGAGGTCTGCCTCATGCGCTTCTATCGTAGTTGATTTTGCTGACAACCGCAGTTTTTTTTATTTTTAGTCGTTGTTAGGAAAACGCTGCTGCCCGTCTCCTAATTTGTTTCCCTCTGTCGCCTCTTACGACACACACGGGACGATATGGGGTAGTAGATATTCTTACACGGCCACTAAACGGCATTTATTTATTTATTTAAAACTTAGCTTTAACTTATGTTTACCTTATGCCCAATGTTACAATAGGTGGGAGTTAATGCTAGACGACGTTCTCTGCACAACAAACTCGTTGGTGTAGTGAAATGAACTAGCGTAATATTAAACGCAGAGAAAACTGCTCTACTCCATAGCTTTTTATACGACTTACAATAAAGACGGCGTCTCGGTTCTGTAGAATTCATCAAAGTAATAAATACGTATAGCAAAATAAGTAATTTCAAGGTTTATTGATTTAATTGTGAGAGCTTTCATAACGAGGTCAAGGTATTTTGTTTTATCAATTGTGTGTACAATTTATTCGTTTTTATTTGTGAATAAATTTTTGTGTAACAAGATTATTGTCACTTGACCTATAATTCTCTTTACTAGAAAATAGAATTAGGATTATATAATATTATTTTAATAAGAATTATATTTTGTTAATACTTAATGATTATATTAATTTATATTCTAATCGCGAATATAATCTAATTTAATTCTAATCGAGGATAGAAGTGGATGTTTATATTTACATGTGTATTGTTCATTTACATTCCGTTATATACTACCTTAAGCTGTTGGAAGTTTATTATTATCATTATAGCCGTGGTAGCTCAGGGCTAAGCGTACGTCACAAATTTCATAGTACGCAAACCCGGGTTCAATACCCGCGGACAGCTATGAAATTATTAATGCAATTTTAAGTGTTAATTTGCCATGAGCGGTGAAAGCGAATATCTGAGTCCGCCAACACGCCCTTGATGGCAGCTCCATGACTCTATTAGAAACAAGAGGATGACTGTGTTCAGCGGTCTGACACATAAACTTAATATAATTTATTTTTCGGCATCAGAAAAATAAATTCTCCATGAAATGCATATTTAAAATGTGTTAATTCAATTTTTTTTAATTCTAACTCAGTGACACAGAATTTACCCGATAATGCCTATGTAGAAGCCGTGAAACAATAAGTAACACTATATTAATATTCGCACTTTACTAGATCTAATTATGGTCTTGAATAAATAAAATACACATTAATTTAATCAACCGCAATGGCTGCAACGCTTGTCGCATTAAAGAAAAATAGAGTGACGAACTGAATGACGAAGCGAGTGACGAAACGAACGAGTGGTCGATCAATACGAATGGTACAGTACGGTCCTGAACCGTATTTCGTGGCAATCCATGGGGGAGGCTCACATTCAGCAGTGAACTTGTGATGGGATGTAGTAATGGTGATGAAGATTCGTCCTGATTTCTTATATTTACGCGAACACTACACATTTTTAAATAAAACTAATTTTACGGATTTTATCGCGTATATTAACTTATTTTTATATTCCCGACGTTTCGGGTGCTTTCCAGCACCCGTGGTCACGGGGGACTGAGTTGTTTGACGTCCTGCTGTCATAGTTAGCCCGGCTACCTTATTAAATAACAATATTAAAAAACTGAAGGTAGCCGGGCTAACTATGACAGCAGGACGTCAAACAACTCAGTCCCCCGTGACCACGGGTGCTGGAAAGCACCCGAAACGTCGGGAATATAAAAATAAGTTAATATACGCGATAAAATCCGTAAAATTAGTTTTATTTAAAAAAGATTCGTCCTGTTACCAGATCGTCTTTAACTATCAAAGTCTCCGGTCCAGTTCCGGCATTGTACCTACGAACCACATCGGCATTGGCCTGTTATTTTACGTATACTGTGTATGTCGGTTGAACTAAATAAGTTCTAGAGTTATGACAGCTGCAACGTGTTTCTGCTACCTTCTATTTTCATTATCATTACAGCTCATTACAAGTTCAATGCTGAGTATAGGATTCCCCCAAAATAACACCACAAAGCGCGTTCCTGATCCACCAGCATCCATCGACTTTCTGCATCACATATCAGGTCTTTATTCCAGTTGATAGTACCACCTAAAGTTCTATTACGGGTATAAGTATACTAGGTTACTACGTGAGAGCCTTCTTTCCCCATCGGTTGTCGGTTTTCCAACATATATGGGTTGGGGCCCTCTATTCTACAATCAATTACTATTACAAAATAGAACATGATGGACTCTATCTTTCCCAACATTTGTGTTTTGTCTATTAGTCGTAAAGTCCAGCTTTTTAAGACGGTTTTAAATTCTTCTCACTGCAAATTGACTGCTTATTATGACTGTTCCCTGACATCAGCCATTTTTATCTAATAAGAAAAAGATTAATTGTTGGGTTGCATATGAGCGTAGTGTACTTAAAACACATATCTCTTTTTGTTCAATATTGTCATATAGTTTTTTTTTATAGGATAAGGGTGATAAACGAGCACACAGTCCACCTGATGGTAAGTGGTTGCTGCGGCCCATAGACATCTACAACTATCCTCGTTTGCGAATCAAAATGCAGATGCGTTGTCACCCGTGAGGACTAAGATGGAATGCCTCATTTCCAGTAAAAAGGGCCTCTGGCCACCTGCACTCACCAAGCGAAATGCAGAGGTAAACCTCTACTTCACGCTGGTATTCTGTGAGGTCGTGGTACCACCCCAGTTTGAGTCGGCCCATTCGTGCGACAGCAAAAGCTGCCGCGTGGCTCTACCACTGTTATATTATACATCTATTCTAGATGGAGAATCAAACTATGGATGAGTTGTTCCTCCTCAGGACTAAGGGGGAACATCTCGTTACCAGTAAAAACCGTTCATGATATTTATTATAAGTAACAAAACAGACTAATACTGCTTATTTTATGCTAGTATTTTAACTGACTTCAAAAAAATTAACAGGTACTCAAATTAACTTTATTTTTAATGTGTGTTACCTCAGAACTATTTTCAAGGTTTGCCTTTGATTTTGATGATTTTTTTATTTTATAGCTGGTGCTTCTCATGTGGTCCCATATAAATTTGATCAAGATCTGACCTGATCTGTAGTTTTTGAGTTATACTTAATAGTGCGTATTTAATTGACTTTAACTACATTAATTAAGAAAAACATTGTGTTCTTATTTTATTTATATTGGAGTCGGTTGTACAAAATTTTTAATTTTACCATTTGTTTGTAAAAGCTATTTGTCGGTCAAGACGTCGTGCTTGTACCTACATAGCCATTATGATTTACAGTGTGTCTCTCCCACCCTACTCTCTGCGTGCCTCATCGTACTTAGATCTAGGTTCTTCCTATAAATTTTTGAGAGACATTAATGTTCAACAGTAGTGTACTAATACGATAGGTTAGATTTTTTTGGGTTGCCAACGTTTTACATGTTACATGTAACTTATGTTATGTTATGTTAAATTATGACACGTGTGAAACTTTAATAAAAATAGAATCTCGTTAACTCTACAAAAATATGTCTTAAACTTGTAAAATGTTTCTAATGCATGTTAAGCAAAGCAAATTTTATAACTGAATATATGAACAGAGTCCTTTCTTAATGTACCTATTGTAATTATCGGTTAATAATTTAATGGATATTTTATTTTAATAATTTAGCCCTAAGAATAATAAAAAAAAAACTTTGTGCTTTTATTTTAATAAAAATTTGGTTGAATAAATATGAAAGAAACTGAAGTAGATTTTTATCAATATTACCTAATAACCTTTCAGAATGTTTAAAAAATACAATAAAAACCTCAGTTGCACCGTCATCATTATGTTAGATTGACAAAAGAGATAATTGTCCACGTAATGGTAAGTGGCTCCAGCAGACCCCAGTACACCTGCAACCATCTTTAAACAAAGAAGCGTGTTAGTAAACTGGCTCCTGGCCTTTAAATTGGAAACATCTAGGGGTGCACTGCTGCTTGCTTGATTTGTTACTAACCTAGATAACCTCGTAGATATACATAAATTACACATAGTGCATTTGAATAAACAAATTTACTCATAAATTAATTTTACAAATACAATGTTTTAATCGATATCATTGTTAGATAACGTTTACTCGTTATAGCCGCAAAATAAAGAGAGCATTTTATTTTGTACTGGAGGCCTGACGTTATTAAAACATTTTTTTTTTGATAGCCGCAATTGTAACTGGATACGTCACACAAAAAGGCCGACTCGTTTGACGTTTAAATATACACGTACTAATAGTTCAGGGGGACTTTACAGTACCCTACACCTTTACATAGGCGAGAACTACTGTATCGTTCGAACGATTTCCGGCCCCGCCCAAGCACTGGTGAAGCGACCAATAGCAGCTAGTGGGGACCGTGGGGTCCGAACAGACGCCGCCTTACCATCGTCAGAACTTAGTCCATACGTAACAATCGCGGAGTGTGCCCGCGTGACCCGTGGCCGGTTTGCATGGAGTGCTTTGAACTCGCCTGAAATAGTTCTGTAATCGGCTGAAACTCTTGTGAGATGCTTTGACAGTTGAATGACGGCATCACGGGCCGCCGTTGATGTTTGTTTTGTTTTTTGTTTGTGAGAAGAAAATATCGACAAAGTGTTGGGCGTAAAACTGGAAATGAAGGTGAGCCCTGTCTTTTGATTATAATTCTATAAAAAAAAATTAGATTAATTATTTTATATTTTAAACCTCTATAAAAATATTTATTGTAGAAAAAAGTTTTTATTTCTCAGCATTATTTTATATACCTAATACGAAATCTGTAAATGCGAGAACTAATAATTATAATAAAATTAATAAAACTTATCTATATAAATAAGTTAGATATTTAATATCTAATGAAAAATGATATAATGAATGATAAAATTATATTATCTTTATTAACTATAAAGTTTTTTTAAACAAATACGGCGGCTCGTAATTATATTTCCTTTTAATATTAAAAACAATGCAAAGTCGTGCATGCGTAAGAATATAAGTAAACGTGTAAGGATTGAGATCTTTTCAACTCCAAGAATTAACTACAAAAAATTCGAAATAGTATTTCAAATAGACGGTTTTTATTTACTTTAAATAGTAAATAAAAACCGTTCATAATACATATTATAAGTAACAAAACAGACTAATACTGTTTATTTTATGCTAGTATTTTAACTGACTTCAAAAAAAGTAGAAGATACTCAAATTAATCTATTTTTTTATGTGTGTTACCTCAGAACTATTTTCATGGTTCGCCTTTAATTTTCATGATTATTTTTATATTTGATAGAATGTCTTATAAAGCTATCTAAGTTTCGTATTCAATAATATCTATTAATTAAGACGAAATAGAAAATGGGCTCACGGGATAGCTTGTTATGTTCAAATATTTCAAGTACGCATATTTCCTTTCCTTCTGCTCAATTATTCACTTAACGTTTTCAAGAGAAAGCTTTTTATATATTTATACGATATTCATTTATTTTAAATTGCGAAAAGAAGAATATTAAAGGTTTAGTTAAATATTAAGAGTTACTACTTCGCGACGGTTTTATAACTGTAAACGTCTTTTGCTTGTTTTATTACAAAAATAGGCAGGTAATACTGAAAGAATTTCGAATTATCTAACCGTAAAGTATTTCTATTATTTCTGTTAATATGGCATCATGCTTAAGATATTTTGCACGACTAAAGAAAATACATTTTATGATCTTAGAGATAAAACAATAATATATGGTTTATATATAATAATATCACAAGGCAAAGAACGGCGCCATTATTGACCGGATGACTGGTTCTTTTCTAGCCCAAAGCGCAGCATAAAGAATAGTGCGACCACACAAAAAAGTTAGGTATAGGCATACAGCGCTAGGAAACGAAGCTAGCTTTCTTGGCACTACACCACGGGGAGTATGACCGTATGATAATTTTAGTTCTAATTATTGTATGTTAAGATATAAATAATAAAATGTAACTATCGCTTAAAGAGAGATTTGTAGAATTTTCATACCGATCTCTTATTTTCAGTTCAAAACATGCCTTAGTTACATTACTTTTATTAATTACAATTTACACATTGTCAACATTACCTCTAAATTCAATATTTTCGTGTTTATTCCCTTTATATAGACAGACAAATTATTTTTCAACGTTAGATTCGGTTACCGTTGCAGCTTATTAAAGTCCACTGTTGAACATAGGCCTCCACCATAGATTGCCTCATAGAGGGGATATATGCCTTAGTTGCCACGCTCAGCAAGCGGGTTAGCAACCGCAGTTTTTTTATTTTTGGTCGTTATGAGGAAGAAGCTGCTGTCCATATCCTGATTTGTTTCACTCTGCCGCCACTTACGGCACCCACGGGACGATGTGGGGCACTGGATGTTTTTACATTGCCACTACACGTTGGATTCACGTTTAAATAAAAATCATGTTAAAGTAAAGTTACAGTCTGTAATATACGTCCCACAGGCACGGGCCTTCGCTCATATATGGGGGGTTTTAGGTTAGAACAAGATAATATGCACCGCACTGCCACAATGTGTGTTGGCGAACTAAACACGTCTGCGAAATATTTTTTAATTAAGTTTTTCCTCTCGATATTTACCTTCACCGCCGAACACGTGATCAGTCAGCAATCAAAATTGCAATTGGTAATTTCATTGGCGTCGGCAGGAACCTGGGTTGGTCATCGTCATCATTGTCATGATTATAGCCCTTCATAAGTCCACTGCTGAACATAGACCCCTAACGAATGCCACGAAGTATGGTCGATCCGCTGCATCCATTGCCTTCCTATGAAATTCACAGCGAGCACTTAACCCCCGAGCTACCATAAAAATCATGTAAAAATTGAAAATATGAAATTTTTTTTTCGTTTTCTAGTTTGTATTTTTCACATAAATAGTAGAATTTTATTTACGGGTTTGGATTTTCTTTTTCAAGTAGGCAGTTGCATATGAGACAACCGACCACCCGTAGGCACATTTCTAACGATCGCTTACGATGTTTACGCCGCTTTTCTATTATAAATTATAACGTTACTGTTGCGATGGCTTCCCATTAGAATGAAGTATTTTAGTAAGACCCTAATATGAAAGTTAATTTGCAGTATTTATTTATTCCTTCTTTTTTTTGTAAAACGTTACGTTTACAGTGGGATTTTCTACTATATATAAACTTGACCAGTTTTAAATACATAAATAGTACAAGGACAATATTTTTGTAGGCCATAAAAACATTTGTTACATGTTGGATTTTGAAACTGCGGCCCGGTAGTGCCGCAACTAAGCGCTTGGCCTACACTACCAAGCTTTCTAGACATAGACGATAAGAATATGTTTCTGCGTAGGAGTCGTTCTGAGTAAGTAACTACCCCCTACCCTATTTCTATCTCTAAACAGCAAAGTTCTGGTGCATCCACTGCTTTGTTCCAGTCTGAAAAGTACGGAGAACCAGTACGCATTTAATAAAATTACTTATACGAATTGTTTCGCGTTTAATTTTAACTTATTTTTGATTCCCGATGTCTCGGGTATTTTGCAGTACCCATAGTAACAAGTATACTGACATTAAGATGTTGAACACCTTACTTAATGTAATACTTGATCTTGGCTACCTTCAGCTTTTAAATATTATTGGAACGAAGTTCCTTATCGGACGGTACGGGTTTGGCGGATGGGAGCTAGGCGACAAAAAGTGTAAGATTTTTTCGTCACTACCCCTTGTGTCATAGTGCATATTATTTTAAATGACGCATCATTTTAATAGACGCTAGTAATACATTTATTTGTATTTGTTAATCAATAATATAATACGTTTATCAATAATAAGGAACTTCGTTCCAACCGAATGTTCCGGACCCTAACGTATGTTTTTTTGGTACAATCCACGCAGAATTAACTTATAGCACCTTGAAGTCTAGGGTAGATTTAGATTTAAATTTATTAGTTACAGGATCCCCAGCAAATGATAGTACTCAGCTATAATTTCCATTTGAACTAGTATGATTCCATGGCTATTATGTATATATATTAGCTCAGTAGCGGACTTTGAAAGAAAATGACGGCTCCATGGCGCAATGGCTTGACATTGTGTTGCGGTACTGAGAGCCACGACTTCGATTCCCGCACGGATGAAGTATTTGTATGGCCTACAAATAATTGTTGCGGGTCTGGAAGTTTGTCCTGGTGCAATTTATGTTTGTAAACTGCTTAATGCGGGCGTAATATTTAAAAAAGAAAAGATTTTTAGATTATTAGATATTTCAAGCACGATCTGTGTATATGCGTAAGCTATAATACCTATAATTGTCGTTCATATACGTAAAATGCAGTTTTAATTGACGCAAGTCTTCATTAACTTAACTTTCACGCAGTTTCTTTTTGAATTATATTTAATTAATTAATTTTAAGCAGTAATTACCAAAGAATATTTTAAGCGTTATTAAATATAATCTAAAATTGGTAACCGTAGGCGGTCTTCTGAAAGCATAAAATATATTAATGTTTAAGTGCTTAAGTCGGCGTTTACGTCATACAGATACGCCGGTGTTCAAATAATGTTTTGTTAGGTATTGTTCTTATAATATTAAAGTAGCAAACGAGCTCATCGTTCACTTGACTGCTAGTGTAGCAACATTGTCACCAACCAACTTCCAACACGAGAACTATGGTATTCGAAGTCCTGATGTTAAAGTTAACCCAAGATAATTTTAGTTTTTAAATATGAAATGTTGGTCTAATCCACGCAGAACTTAAAAAATCTTTAAGTCTTGCAGAAGAAAGCTTGGGGATTGGGTAATATTGAGGAAACTACGAAATTTTAAGCAGATGATAGCACCAAGCCATCTCTATTTTAAATTGGATGTTTTTTGATTTCAATAGACTGACCATCCTTGTACATTCGATATTTTTATTGCGATATTCATTTACGGAGACTATCCTGAACGTGTTTACTGACTATAATAATCAACGCTAAACAACGACAAACCGATAACACCTACGCTCCGGGAAGCCACCGAAACGTTGGAAATTAAAAGTTAAATTAAACGCCATATAATCTGTAAAACAGTTACATTCAAAGTTTAAGTGTTAGGTCAAAATTCAAACTTTCTATTTTAAGTGAAATATTTTAATTAGTTATACGCCTCTATAGTGTAACGTAATGACTGCCTCATTGAACTAGTGGTCGTGAGCGTGACAGCTGGGTTTAAAACTCCGGTCCAGCCAAAGTCAGTTATAGGGTTTTTCTCTTAAGTTATTCTTAATAGCGGCTGCAGAAAGTTAGCGGTGCTTCATCCCTATCCTCGGAAAGCGCGGAACGTAAATCGTTGGTCCAGAGTCTGATAACTCCAGCCGTGTTGGATTGCCGTTTCATCGGACTATGAGGGCGAGGAAATAGAATATGCTAGCTTCCGACTGGCCACCGTTACCGTAATTCGGTCTGGAGGAGATTAACGTAAGAGTAACGTAATCCAATAGACATTCGCGATCTATGACTATGAGAGTTTATTTTATATCGTTAGCAGCTCGTAAACAGCCCATTGTTGGAATTATTCCTCTCTTAAGTAAGGAATAGCCGTCAACGTTATCAAGCTGTCTCGCGTCTTTGACGCTGTTCCTTGTCACCATTAACCTTTCGAT